GGGCTGCACCCTGCAGGCCTATGGGCCCTGCACTTCCCCAGGTTCAAGACTGAAGAAAGAGCCCGAGGTCAACAACAGAGACATCAATGGTTTAATGGATGGGGGAGCTTACATGTCTGAAGCAAGGTCCCCCCATTTGCAGCAAGCGGCAGACAGGATATGGCGGCAGTCTCCGCTCCCAGGGCGGGGGCGGCGGCGGCGGGGGGGGGTGGGGGGGGGGGGGGGGGGGGGCGGGAGGTTACCAGTTATAGGGAAAATGACGTCAGGTGGGCTCATTGGTTACCAGGGAAACCAGCAGAGAGGCACGCCCCTCACCACCCCTTTGATAAGAACAATCACTAGCTGGGGCGGAGGCAAGTACATAGGAAGGTCAGTCACATGCGTCAGATACAGGTGACGCAGGCCCTGGTAGGGCAGAGGACTTACAGAGAGCAAGAGAACAGCCATCTTGAGTGGCCTGACTATACAGGCTTCCTTGCTGTCCCTGAAAACAAGTTTGCAGACCCTTTTCATTTTAAGACTTCAATGTCCATCATTACAAGAGAAAAGACAAGATCTAAGGGCAAAATATGGGGAAGTTATATAAAAGGGTACAAATCTGACAGTCTTGGGTCCTGGTCCAGCGCATCTGATGATCTGGTTAAAATAACTGGAAATTTCTTTTACACTAACATTGGGTATTATAAGCAGAAAGGGTAGGGGGTCCCCGGAGAAAAGGGAACCAGGCATGGCATTCTTGACACAAGAGAACCCATTTTGACCTAAGCCATTTTGTGATCTAAGCCTGGCCACAATGCTTGCCCTTGAACAGGTCTCAGTAATTAATGATCTTAAGGGAACAAACGAAAAAGCAGTCAAGAAACAATGGTTCTGTGATAAAAGAGTCCTAGATTCTCAAGAGATATATGTAGATGTAGAGAATGGACTTGAGGACACGGAGAGGGGGAAGGGTAAGCTGGGACGAAGTGAGACAGTGGCATGGACATATATACACTATCAAATGTAAAACAGATAGCTAGTGGGAAGCAGCTGCATAGCACAGGGAGATCAGCTCGGTGCTGTGTGACCACCCTAGAGGGGTAGGAGGGAGACGCAAGAGGGAGGAGATATGGGGATATATGTATATGTATAGCTGATTCACTTTGTTATAAAGCAGAAACTAACCATTGTAAAGCAATGATACTCCAATAAAGACGTTTTTAAAAAAAGAGATACATAACACTCTGATACATATCATTGAGTACATACATATCTCTGGGGGCGGAAAGCAAGGCCGCCACCCAGGTGAAGGATGGAATGATGACGTTGACCTCTTCTGACCCTCGTGACTTCAATCAGTTGAAGCCTGCACTCTGTCAACCTTTGCCCCAATTCTACACTGCATTTTCCACTGCTTAAGACCCTTCATGAATATGAGTGTATCCTTAGTTTCAAACTTCCCCAATTTTGCTATTCAGGGAGGCACAGCTTGGGAAAGATCCCCGGTGTTCTCCTTTCTTTTGGCTGCACTGTGAGATCTTAGTTCCTTGACCAGGGATTGAACCTGGGCCCTCGGCAGTGAAAGCATGGAGTCCTAACCACTGGACCACCAGGGAAGTCCCTCTCCTTCCTTGCTGCAGATAATAATTCCTTCCTTCTCCCATTCTTTGGTTTGGCCATGTTTCTTGGCTCGACACCCACCAAAAGGCAAATCCGGTTTTTTGGGTAACACCTCCACACCGGGAGGATGACACACCCCAACTTCACGGGGACAGAGGTTCCTGTGCTTGGGACCCTCCCAGACCTCGCCCTATGTGTCTCTTCATCTGGCAGTTCATCTGTGTCCTTTATCACATCCTTTAATAAACTGGCAAACGTGTTTCCCTGAGTTCTGTGAGCCGCTCTAGCGAATTAATCAAACCCACGGAGGGGGTCATTGGAACCTCTGATCTATAGCTGCTTGGTCAGAAGCACAGGTGACACTGGTGACTGCAGTGTGGGGGAGGAGAGCGGAGAGCAGTCTTGTGGGACTGAGCCCTTATCCTGTGGGCTCTGACGCCGTCTCCAGGTAGATGGTGCCGGAACTGAGTTAAATTGCAGGCCCCCCAGCTGGTGTTGCAGAGAACTGCTTGGTGTGGGGAAAACGCCCACACACTTGGTGACCAGAAGTGCCAGAAATGTGTGTTTTGTGTGAGAAGTAAAAGAAGCCCTTAGGAGATAGACGGGGCTGAGGTTTTTTCGTACAACTGGAGGGAAAGACTAGGGTTTTCCTTCACATTGGGGCTCATCAAACCTTTTACTTCCTATTCATCTTTGGCTGCTGCCTTGCTGTGAAACTCCGTCTCGGTCCTTCCCCCAGAAAAGTCCATTTCTTCAGTGCAGAGACTTAACAAGGACTATCTTAGCAGGATAGTTGAACCCCTGTTTCAAGCGGTTTCAAGAACTTTCACTTCTGAGCACTTGGAGACCAGGCAAGACGTATTTTACTACACTTCTATCCTACATGGGATTCTTCTCTTAAGAGCTTTTGCCTACAGCTCCACTGACTTTTTTTCCTTTTCTCTCTTTTTTAAAATAATTGTTTATTTTTGAACAGGTTACTTTTCTACATAGTTGAGTATTGGAAAGATACAAAAAGGGACAGTGAAAACAATCTCTCCCACTCACCTCTGAGTCCTCCAGTTCTCTTCCTCAAGGGCAACCAAGATGATCTTTTTTTCCTGTGTATCCTTCCAGAGATATTTTATACATTGCAAGCAAATATACATATAAAATGCAAATATATTCTCCCCCTCTCCTTTTTCATATAATTGGTAATATACCATCACTTTTTGTTCACTATATATATGAGAGTATGCGTATGTGTGTGTGTGTGTATGTGTGCCTGCATGTATGAAGAGTACTTAAAGAACTTCCTTGGGGACTCCCCTGGTGGCACAGTGGATAAGACTTCGCTCTCCCAACGCAGGGGGCCTGGGTTTGATCCCTGGTCAGGGAACTAGATCCCACATGCATGCCGCAGCTAAGAGTTTGTATGCCACGACTACAGAGCCTGTGTGCTGCAACTAAGGAGCTGGAGAGCTGCAACTAAGGAGCCCTGGAACCACAACCAAGGAGCCTGCCTGTCACAACTACGGAGCCCACGTGCTGCAACTAAGGAGCCCGCAAGCTGCAACTAAGGAACCCACCTGCCACAACTAAGACCCGACGCAACCAAATAAATAAATAAAATTTAAAAAAGAAAGAAGCATAAGGGAACTTAAAAAAAAAACTTCCTCAATCTTTCAAGGGTTGTATTATAGTCCATTTATAGATGAGCCAAATTTATAGCTATTTGAGCTGTTCACAATCTTTTGCTCTTAGAAACGATGCTGATATAATTTTTTTTTTTTTTTTGTCTGTGCCACACAGCATGCAGGATCTTAGTTCCCTGACCAGGGATTGAACCTGTGCCCCCTGCAGTGGAAGTGTGGAGTCTTAACCACTGGACCACCAGGGAAGTCCCTGATATAAATTATCTTTACATATATGCAGGTCTGTCTGCCGTCACCTGTTTTCTGATGGGCTAAGGGTGTCGACAGCCATGCAATCTACCAGTAATTCCAGTACTGGAGCATCTTCACATAGAGTATTCCTTTCCTCAACCTGCTCCTACAAAGACAGAATCGGGTAATTTAAATGTATATTTATTTATTTATTTATTATTTTTTTATTTTTTGGCGGTACGCGGGCCTCTCACTGTTGTGGCCTCTCCCGTTGCGGAGCACAGGCTCCGGACGCGCAGGCTCAGCGGCCATGGCTCACGGGCCCAGCCGCTCCGCGGCATGTGGGATCTCCCCGGACCGGGGCACGAACCCGTGTCCCCTGCATCGGCAGGCGGATTCTCAACCACTGCACCACCAGGGAAGCCCCTAAATGTATTTTTTTCATCAGTTGAAATTACTGTTCTTTTTCTAGAGATATTTACACAATAGTTGCTCTCCATGTTGCTGTCACGTTTTTAAATGGAAGGACATGGGAGAAGATGCATGGAAAGCCATGCTTCACACATCAGAACTCTCTGGGGTTCTTTTCTTAGCCCACTTCCTGGGCAATCAGTGCCTAAATCTTCAACTGCTGGATTTATATCTCTCGCCCTGCTCTCCCCGCCAAGCTCTTGACTCATACATTCAGCTCCCTTCTCAATGCGCCTACTTGTCGTCCCATAGGTACTTCACACCAAGCATGTCCAGTCTCAGTAGGAGATGGCATGAACCTTTACACAATCGCCCAATCCAGATACCCAGGAGTCATCCCTACGCGGCTGGAGCCTGCCCCTCAGCCTGTTAAGTCCCTCGAGGGCACGAGGGCACGACTGGGTCTTGTTAGGGTCACACATCCCTCGAGCTCCCTCCAGTGGCTGTAAGATACTTGGTGGATAAATGAATACACATATGAATGACTTCTCCTTCTCTTTCATTTCAGGGCAATGGCTGAAACCACCTTGCAGGGGAAATATGAAGCAGGGAGAGAAAATTCCTATCTTCCGGCTGGATGTCATTTTATTGGGCACAGAGAAGGGAGTGAGAAAGGCAACAGGCTACTGAGGCTGAGTGACCCCAGAAAGAGGGGGGCTCCTCAGGAGGCTAAGGCCCAAGAAGGGCTGTTACAGGGAAAATCTGCATACCAGTGTGTATACTATAGACCTGTGTCTGTCGCTCCCCAGTTGAATTTTTTTTTGTTCTCCATTTATGTTATTTGCAGACATTTGCAAATGATCACTGATACAAACAACACCATTCGATAAACCCATGGATCCCTTAAGAGAATAGATCAGGTAAAGGAGTACTGTAGGTGGGGCTTCCCTGGTGGTGCAGTGGTTGAGAGTCCGCCTGCCGATGCAGGGGACACGAGTTAGTGCCCCGGTCCGGGAAGATCCCACATGCCGCGGAGCGGCTGGGCCCGTGAGCCATGGCTGCCGAGCCTGCGCGTCCGGAGCCTGTGCTCCACAACGGGAGAGGCCATAACAGTGAGAGGCCCGCGTACGGCAAAAAAGGAGTACTGTAGATGGATATGGAAAACAGATAAATAGAATCACAACAGTGATAGCCCTGTAGGGTGCCAATCACTCTTCTAGAAACACCACCACCAACAACAATAATAATTGCAAATATCTGGCTGCTGGGCATTATATTACTTCATTTAATCTTCCCAAGCCTGTGATGTGGTAATAAAAAGCTAAAAAAGGACTTCTCTGGCGGTCCAGTGGTTAAGACTCTGCACTTCCATTGCAGGGGGCGCGAGTTCGATTCTTGGTCGGTGAATTAAGATCCCACATGCCTCGGGGCCAAAAAACCAAAACAGAAAGCAGAAGCAATATTGTAACAAATTCAATAAGGACTTAAAAAAAAAATCTACCCTCAGCACTTTATGATGACTCCCAGTTCAGGGGTGATGTGGTAATACTGTATGTAAATATGGATTATTGCGTTTGAAAGTCATAAAATCAGGAGTTTTTCATTTTAGTCATATAAACACAGCTTCGACTCACCCCTGTAAATGGCCTAAGCGTAGGCTGGGAGCTGAGTGACAAGTAACGGCCACTGGTGGGGATGAAGATGTCTGGGGAGGACCCTGCCCCAGAAGGGTTTCCTTCCAGGAGGAGAGTCTAAGCGGGGTGACTGTTCATCCTGGCTTCAGCTGAGTGAATGCTTCACCCCCAGGATGGAGCTGCTTCCGGGACTTTACCATCTGGGGATTCTGTGCAGAGGACCCCTGCTGTCCTCTGTCTGCCTACGAGCCCAGAAGGCTGCCCGGACGGTCTGATCACCCCTCCAGGTGACACCGACGAAGAGGGTGCTCTCTTTTCCTCCTAGCTTACTCTGCTTCTATGAGAAATAGAGGAAGGTGTGAGTGAGAAATAATCAACACAGCTTTAAAGAAGCCCCAGGCCTGTCTTTGTTCTTGGTTTGTCTTTAACTCGGGGTGAAACTGTCAGCTGTGGAGGAAGGCTAGGCAGAAAATTCTAGCCAGGGTTTTGAAACTTAAATCCATGATTTTGTGAGACTTCCCTGGTGGGCCAGTGGTTAAGACTCCATGCTTCCACTGCAGGGGGCGCGGGTTCGATCCCTGGTGGGGGAACTAAGATCCCACAGGCTGCACAGCGTGGCCAAAAAATTAAAAAAATAATAAATAAATCAATCCAAGATTATGTGATGGTGCCATTCAGCCTCCCAAGTAGGTGGCATAAAGTAGGGATGTGCTCCAACGCATTCCAATGGTTGTTTGTTAGTAGGGATCATGTATTCATATTTCAAAACATCCATGTCGTAGAATATTGGCTTCTACTGTAGTTTGTGGTAAAATACTGTATTACAAAATGTTTTACACGTGCACATACATATACACCACATATACACATATATATTTTAAACCCCAGTAATAACAGTGATTACAATACCCATCATAACTAATATGTATATAACTAAAAATATCACATAACTCATAAACACGGTTCTTCTTTTCTGGTAGATCCTCAAGAGAAGCTCATTTTTGTCAAATACTTTGTGCTTAACTCTTCAGTAAAAAGAAGCAGCCATTTGGCCCCAGGGCAAGAGAAGCAGGTAGAATCACTCCTGTTGGAAATGCCAGGGTAATTTATTATGGGTAGCATGATCAAACAAGAGGCTACAAGACAGAACAAGTAAACTATGCTCCTTCAGAGGCAAAGGAGAAATGCAAAGACTCTAAGCAGTGGCCCTTCCTGAGAGTTAATTTTGCCCCCAGGATTCTTAGCAATGAAGCCTTTTGGTCTTGAAGGTATCAGAAATTAACAAAAGCCCATATTGTAGTTAGTAGGCAGCGCAGCCGCACAAGACAGAATTCACAGCGCTGAGTTTAACACACGCTATTCCATCTGGGAGCGTGGAATCAAAAACCCAACACTGGGGACTTCCCGGGTGGTCCAGTGGTTAAGACTCTGCTCTCCCAATGCAAAGGGCCCAGGTTCGATCCCTGGTCAAGAAACTAGAGCCTGCATGCCGTAACTAAAGATCCCGCGTGCCACAACTAAGACCTGGCGCAGCTAAATAAAAAAGCAAAAAACAAAACAAAAAAAAACCCCACACTGATGAGGAGTAACGAGCAGGCAGAAGATGTTATGGAGGCCAGGCAGGAAAAGAAAATATATGGCTTACATTTCCTATAGCTCTGGCTGCAACTATTTTCTACACAGAGGAAACTGTGAGAAAGAAGACAAAGAAAAGTGGGGAAAGTAAAGGTAAAAGCGAGAAACAAAGCTTATTCCACAGGTTGGAGCCTCCTCCTGGCCACGTGGCTGACCGCTCAGCAGCGTCTCAGCAGCTGCTCACCGTCAGCACTCTCACTGGTCCCTCCTGTCTCCATGATGATTTGGTGTGATTCCGACAGCTTCTGCTAGTTACTGAAGCTTACTCTGAGCTGAGCACTGTTGTTACTAACTCCATTCTACAGACGAGGAAACAGAGCCTCTGAGATTGCTAACAATTGGGCCCAAATCACTGAGCTGCTAAGACTGTGAGATCAGGCATTGAACCTAGGCTGTTTCAGTCCCTAGGCTGTGCTCTTGTTCAGCAAAGTGAAAAATAAGACGGTATTTAATGGGGGAGAACACGAACATGTATTGAGTACTTAATATATACCTGGCGGCATTTAGTCCTCACCACAGTCCTGCAAGGGAGGTATCATTATTCCCATTTTATAGATGAAGAAACTGAGGCTCAGAGAGCTTAAGTAACTTATCCAAAGTTGCGCTGTTAAGTAAAAAAGCCCAGGTCTCTCAGACCGCAAAGCCCATACTCTTTCTCATTCTTCCTTCCAAATGGAATTCTCAGGAATTTCACTGAACTAAATAAATAAAAATCTCTCCTTTAGATATTTTTACCTCTGCACATCCAAACCAAACAGACGTTATAAAACGAATACCTGGGGGTTTCGTCAGAATTTGAAAGGAATCTATTAAAGATTGCCTGCAAGGAAGCCACTGCATAAACTGTGTTTTGTAAATTCTTCTGTTGTAATTAATTAAGTTTTCTAAAGTTCAAAGAGAAAGATGGAAGACAGAAACCAGTTTTTATTGGTTTACAATCAGAATTCATGAATATACTGGCTTCTTTTTTGGTATAAGGAGAGAGCAGAGAGTAAATGTGGTAGGAAACTATGGGGGTCCACAGATCCAGACTTTAGCCTGGAATGGACTTTAAAGATGTAATTCAAACTTATAAATGGGGAAATGAAAACTCAAATAGCTTGAGTGACTGCTAATTAACAGTAGAGCTGAGGCTAGAAACCTGGGTGTCCTGATTCTTAAACCATTATTCTTTCCATGACATGAACCAGGAATCACTTCAGAGAATATTCCCTTTTCCTCCTCTTTTGACCCAGACAGGGATGAAAAAGTGAGAAAGCTTACCAAAGCATTAAGGATCATACACCATGATCAAGTGGGGTTTATCCCAGGAATGCAAGGATTCTTCACTATATGCAAATCAATCAATGTGATATACCATATTAACAAAATGAAGGATGAAAACCATATGATAATCTCAGTAGATGCAGAAAAAGCTTTCCACAAAATTCAACACCCATTTATGATAAAAACTCTCCAGAAAGTAGGCATAGAGGGAACCTACCTCAACATGATAAAGGCCATCTATATCAAACCCACAGCCAACATTGTTCTCAATGGTGAAAAACTGAAACCATTTCCTCCAAGATCAGGAACAAGACAAGGTTGCCCACTCTCACCACTATTATTCAACATAGTTTTGGAAGTTTTAACCACAGCAATCAGAGAAGAAAAAGAAATAAAAGGAATCCAAATTGGAAAAGAAGAAGTAAAACTGTCACTGTTTGCAGATGACATGATACTATACATAGAGAATCCTAAAGATGCTACCAGAAAACTACTAGAGCTAATCAATGAATTTGGTAGAGTAGCAGGATACAAAATTAATGCACAGAAATCTGTTGCATTCCTATACACTAATGATGAAAAATCTGGAAGAGAAATTATGGAAACACTCCCATTTACCACTGCAACAAAAAGAATAAAATACCTAGGAATAAACCTACCTAAGGAGACAAAAGACCTGTATGCAAAAAACTATAAGATACCAATGAAAGAAATTAAAGACGACACAAACAGATGGAGAGATATATAATGTTCTTGGATTGGAAGAATCAACATTGTGAAAATGACTATACTACCCAAAGATATCGACAGATTCAATGCAATCCCTGTCAAATGACCAATGGCATTTTTCACAGAACTAGAAAAATTTCACAATTTGTATGGAAACACAAAAGACCCTGAAGAGCCAAAACAATCTTGAGAAAGAAAAATTGAGCTGGAGGAATCAGGCTCCATGACTTCAGACTATACTACAAAACTACAGTAATCAAGACAGTAAGGTACTGGCACAAAAATAGAAATATAGATCAATGGAACAGGATAGAAAGCCCAGAGATAAACCCACGCACATATGGTCACCTTATCTTTGATAAAGGAGGCAAGAATATACAGTGGAGAAAAGACAGCCTGTTCAATAAGTGGTGCTGGGAAAACTGGACAGCAACATGTAAAAGAATGAAACTAGAACACTCCCTAATACCGTATACAAAAATAAACTCAAAGTGGATTAAAGACCTAAATGTAAGGCCAGACACTATCAAACTCTTAGAGGAAAACATAGGCAGAATAGTCTATGACATAAATCACAGTAAGATCCTTTTTGACCCACCTCCCAGAGAAATGGAAATGAAAACAAAAGTAAACAAATGGGACCTAATGAAACTTAAAAGCTTTTGCACAGCAAAGGAAACCATAAACAAGACGAAAAGACAACCTTCAGAATGGGAGAAAATATTTGCAAACGAAGCAGCTGACAAAGGATTAATCTCCAAAATATACAAGCAGCTCATGCAGTTCAATATCAAAAAAACAAACAACCCAATCCAAAAATGGGCAGAAGACCTAAATACACATTTTTCCAAAGAAGATATACAGATTGCCAACACACACATGAAAGGATGCTCAACGTCACTAATCATTATGTGATTAGAGAAATACAAATCAAAACTACAATGATGTATCACTTCACACTGGTCAGAATGACCATCATCAAAAAATCTACAAACAATAAATGGTGGAGAGGGTGTGGAGAAAAGGGAACCGTCTTGCACTGTTGGTGGGAAAGTAAATTGATACAGCCACTATGGAGAAAAATATGGAGGTCCCTTAAAAAACTAAAAATAGAACTATCATATGACCCAGCAATCCCACTACTGGGCATATACCCTGAGAAAACCATAATTCAAAAAGCGTCATGTACCACAATGTTCATTGCAGCACTATTTACAATAGCCAGGACACGGAAGCAACCTAAGTGTCCATCGACAGATGAATGGATAAAGAAGATGTGGCACATATATGCAATGGACTATTACTCAGCCATAAAAAGAAATGAAACTGAACTATTTGTAGTGAGGTGGATGGACCTAGAGTCTGTCATACAGAGTGAAGTAAGTCAGAAAGAGAAAAACAAATACTGTATGCTAACACATATATATGGAATCTAGAAAAAAAAAGTGGTTCTGATGAACCTAGGGGCAGGATAGGAGTAAAGATGCAGACATAGAGTATGGACTTGAGGACACAGGGAGGGGGAAGGGTAAGCTGTGGCAAAGTGAGAGAGTGGCATGCACATATATACACTACCAAACGTAAAATAGATAGCTAGTGGGAAGCAGCCACATAGCACAGGGAGATCAGCTCGGTGCTTTGTGACCACCTAGAGGGGTGGGATAGGGAGGGTGGGAGGAAGACGCAAGAGGGAGGGGATATGGGGAT